CAGGTGAGTCGCAAACTAGTTGCGCTCGTCTCGTCAGAGTCCGGATAGTAGTAGCCTTGTGAGAGGTCGGGTTGTACGAAGACTGGTCTAGTAATCGGTCGGTATGTGTCGGTTTTCTGTAAATAGTCGTTTTTAGTTTGTTGTTGTCGCGAGTGACCAAGCAGTCTAGAAAAGGTATCTTACCATTTTCTTCGATCTCCTTGGTGAACTGTATGTCCGCGTTCTGTCTGTTAAGGTGTTCGTGAAAATCGTCGATTCCGTCTTTGTGTACGGCGGTGAATGTGTCGTCAACGTAACGTAACCAAAGAAGTACAGTTCGCGTGTAGGTAGCTAGGGCTTGTTCCTCGATGTTTTGCATGACAATTTCTGGTACAACAACAGAAACTGGAGAGCCCATAGCTGTACCGTGTAACTGTTTGTAGTGTTTGCCGTTGTACTGAAAGTACGTCGAAGTTGGTGTGCATTGTAATTCCTCAACTCAATATCATGCTAAAGATAGAGGTATAAAGTGAGTGATTTATTTGTTTGAGGTTTCTTTGAGGTAGGAAACAGTGTACTTGTTTAAAGCATTCCCACATTTGGATTCGCATGCTCATTTGATCAGTCCACCGTTTTTGCTTCAAGACAGTGTCTATTTTTTCAGTGCATAACTGTTAGTTATTACTTGTAATCAAATTACAATCCGAGCCTTCTCATTTGCCCTAGAGAGGATTTTCACCTCTCGCTCTCCTGGGGGATTATCACCCCCAAGAGAGGATTATCACCTCTCACTAACTCCTCTCCTAGGGAATTGTTACCCCAAATAGGAAGTGGAGTGTAGGATTGCAACTCCTCTGAATCTACTAAGGACCTTTTTTCAGGGGATTGGTAAACCTGGAAAGGAGTGAAGACGTTTTTCTGGGTGTGATTGCAGCCCTAAAGAGTATGCATGTTGTTGCATAAAGTCTGTTCCTAACTCCTTGCCTTACGCCACATACTGTTGTTATTGTTTCAATAATTGGGTTGAAACCATAAATAATACAGTTACTTTTAGTAGCTTACAAACAACAACCATGAGCATGTGTATTCTGATTTATCGATAAGGATGTTTAAAATTTTCTCAATATGGATTGGGTTCTCACATCTCAGTATCTGGCCCTGACTTGATAGATACACCAGTTGCATCTAGTTTGTGTAATTAGTCAATTAATTGTGCTTAATTCACAGACTGATCCTTTGTTTTGTTCTTTGTTATTGCATATCTCCACATCTGCTGTGGAGGAAGTCTTAGGCTCCTGACCAACGCGTTGCTGTTCTTGGTTAAGTCCTCAGCTGATACCTAATTGACCGGACATTTGCCCAGTCTAGTTTTACACGCAATGTTTCCAGTACCATGTGACCATTGTTTCAAGTGACATTTGACTCTGGGAATAGCCCTACAATTCCTGTTGTTCGTCTATGGGGAATACCCCTTTGGGGTATTTCTGGGGATGAAGTGCTCCCATACAAGTCACACTTTGTCCCATAGACTCTTGTTACTCCTTAAACCGGGGAATGAGACATCTAGAGAGGTCTTTCCACCTCTCCAGTACCCAAGGGGGATTATCACCTCCACTCACAACCTTGGGGGATTATCAACCCCTAGAGAGGATTATCAAAGAGAGGATTATCACCTCTCACTATCCTGGGGGATTATCACCCCCTAGAGAGGATTATCACCTCTCCCCTTGTAGATTTCGGACTGTTACACCAATATGTAGAGAAAAGTGACCTGCTGTCCACATTTGGAGTACTTCATCCCTTACCCCTTTTCCCCACAATAATTCTGGTCTAGTTTACTTGCTTTTATCTAAGGGGTTATGGGTTAAGAGCATTAATTCCAAAGTCCCAAATACTTTTTCATTATTATTTTAAAGTTGATGCTGTTGTCTCTGGCAGTATTTCTTATCGACTTCTACTCGTCTTCTTTAATTGGAAGTTAATTTACGTCATTACGGTTATGGAATTGATGAGATCATCCACAGAGGAAACAATCATTGCTCGAGGTAGTGAGTTACGGCGCGGATAGGATTGTTTATTATTTGGGGTTGCAAAAGAGAAAGTTCCTAGTCCAGAGGTTGGCATCACTGTGTTTGCTTCAGCACTAATGTATACTGATTGTATGCACGCGGTGATGCTGAATCCTGCCTTAGTTCATTTCACTTTTATCTCAGGTTAAGGCTACCTTATTTAGTAAAAAAATGTCGAACATTTAAAAATATATATATATTTCGAATGTGTTTGTGAATAAATTACATACTAATTTAAGAGAGGCTACATGCTGTCTTTGCATGAAATACTTGGTAAACTTCCCTGCCTTTGACCAGCTGTGTTCAAGTTTCATTCGAACGCCTTTGAGTCTGATAGCACACTTCTTTGAGCTGCTTTGAGTTGGTTCGAAGGACTACACAGGAGCAACCATGTTACTATTTTTGTATTTTCTATCTTTCTCTTTATTCTGCCATCAAACAGGTTAGTGCATAGCGCACAGTTTGAATTTGAATGATTGAAAGGACTCGTAACTATCAACCATATGCACCATTACAGCACCCCTCATTAACAGAGTCAGTGAAACCCTACCCAATGGTTTATTTAAGTCTACCCAGTGAAAATTTAGCCTCCCCGATACCCGGCAAATAGTTTGTTTCTACCCGGCTGTTTTTTTTTTTTTACGCCCCCGGTCATTTTCTATCTTTACTTCCAGACGACCATATATTACATTGTTCATATTTGTTTAGAAGAAGAACAAATATGAAACATTATTATCATTGACAAAAACAAAATACGGAGGGTACAGGTAATCAATCTGGCATAAAAAAGTGTAAATGGTTTAGTTCTTCTCGATACAGCAATAATTTTAAGTAAAAGGCGCTCAAAGTTGCAGTAAAGATGTAAGGCCTGTCACCCCTTTCCAGATATGGATCGATTCTATACTGGGTCTGTTACAGTGGAGTGTATTACATGACTTCAAAACGTCCGGTATTTTCGGTGGAAATGACATTTGGATGAAGACGAATAGCATTTGTTTCCTTTATTTCTCGCGCACATTTTAAGGCTCAGGTGTCCGCCGTGAAAAGCCTGGAACTGGTGAAACCTTTTGAAAGCTAATATAGATCATATGGATAATAGAGGACGTATTCAAACGAGTCGAAAATGTTTCGAACGAGAAAACAGGCACTGGCCGTATCAGAGAAGTTCAACTTATTCCGCAATTTTATTTTTTCCTGTGGAAAGCACGGAATAAGGCCTACGCGTTTTTCATGATCCTAACCAAAATTTCCCAGAAATTTTGATTAGGATCAATTTTGAAGACGGAAACGCCTGCTTTGTATCCTAAGAGACCGGCGGCAAGAAACTGAAGACGTCTGATCAAACTCTGCTTAGCACTTTGCTGGCTGTTTGATGTTAAACGTTTTGTAACTCTCTGACTTCTTAGTTTGATTCCCACTGGGACAGATACGAGCGACGATTACTAGTCAAACTCGACCCTTTAACCGACCGACCCAACCCCAGATTCTTTCGGGAAGGGTCTTAAAAAAGCTGTAACGGGAAGTTAAATAGATCGAAGTGGGCTATTAAAGAAACTGAAAAGCGAATGAATTAATGCTTTCAGCGAAATACGAAGTTTACAAATGAGATGATTTTAATCGCTTCATGTGATCCATTGAAGCTTATTGAACTGGAATGGTGCCCGAAAGGAAGATGATTAGAGTTATATTACGACTTTTCATTATATTACGGGTTATATTACGACCTTTTTGTTGTTGTGACTTATCCCATGTCCTGTTCTCTTCTAAGGATCCTTGCTGTTCTCTAGCCTGCGGACACAGACATATTTCCGGTCGTTGCTTCTCTTCACCGTAATGGGTTGAGAGAAGCGACGAACGGAAATACGTCTGTGTCCGCAGGCTAGCTGTTCCAAAGAGGCATAACTTTTGTAGCCGAACTCTAGTTTCTTGGCCACGTCCAGCACCTGTAACCATTTCCTCAGGTTGGTTGACTCCATTCAAAGTGCGCCGAGGGCTTCCTTACACTTCCAAATCCTTTTAAGCTCCCTTTCAAATCCTGGTACTTTTCCAACTTTTCCTCAGAGATTCTTGCGTCGACGGGAAGTGCGAAATCTGTCAGGCTTGCATGTTTGCCTCTCCACCTTCAAATCTGTTTGAATCTTATAAACAGAGGCACCCAATGACGGTTTCCAACTTAATGCACTTTTTAGGCTATCCAGAGTACTTTTAGATCGAAAAATAGTCTTACTTGGGGGACTCAAATACAAAAAATTAAACTTAAGAAAATCGTCGGGAATTTATTAGATATGTTACAAAAATTGTACGTGAAGGGAATGGTCATCTAAAACTTTGTAGCCTTTCTGAAGCTATAGACAATTGTAGGCAATTTTTGCTTCTCCGAACAGATATTTTACAGAAAACAGTGGTTGGGTTCCACTGCATAAAGTCCCACAAGTTTTCACTAGAAGACGAGAGCTTCACGCTTAAGTCAACTTCTTTGCGGTGACGATGCCTCATTATCTCATTTTATTTTCTTTTTTCCATGTTTTTTTTTCTTTAGATTATGGCTATTTTGACATATTGAACATTTGTATACATTTCAAATGCGTATAGGAATTAACTGTCTGTGTTGAGTGTGATTAGCGGCAAACATGTTGGCCCAAAATTCACACTGAAACCGAATACGAAAGCCAGCTCACTGCAATCCCGTAAAACGGAAATAAAAGCAGATATTGGTGGCAAGAAAAAAAGAAATAAGCGACGGATATATGGCCTACTTGTCAACGGAAGAGACCTCCGCCATTACACAAAACAGGTCAACTAGAGAACGGGTGAAAGATTCATTCACGAGGCTCATTCATACATGTCAGTGTCATTTTATACATATCTATGTATATATGTATGTCTGTATTTACAACTTCCTTTGGATGATATTAATATTCCGTCGCTTCGGAGTGAATTGTTAGAGGTACCTTGGCAGAGCTTAGCAAAAATCTTTTGATTTCTTTGTCATTGCGAAATAAAATAATTTTATCAAAATTAGAAGCTGTAGTGTGTGAATCTTATGGCTTGCTATTTGCCTGGTCTCCTTTAGGGCATTATCTCGAAGAGCTCTTGGTAAAAAAGTGGTATAACGCTCACATTTTACTAGGTTAAACTTTTAAGGCAATGTTTGTGTCACGACTGAACACGGCAAGCTTTTGATTCGAATCATTAAATTCGAGTCTGGATCCGTTTAAGAAGACCATCATTTTATTTATTTATGTATTCTTCACTTTTAAAATATTATGGAACATAACGGTAAAACTCTTAACAGCCAAAGATAAGAAATACAAAATTACTCGCTGAAATGATATGTGGCCGGCTTATCGAGTCCGCCGAGTAACAAGTTGAAATTTGAGCGTACTGC